CATAATAAAACAGTTTGTATCCCCCTCCAATGCTATGCGCTTTGCTACCCTTCCACCTGGTCTCCTGCACACACAGTATATCTACCTTCCTTCTCTCCATCATGTCCACCAGCTCTCTACCTTTCCCTGTCATTGTGCCAACGTTAAGAGTCCCTATTCTCAGACCTATACTCCTGCCTTTCCTCTTCTCTCTCTGTCTACGACTCCTTCTACCTCCTCTCCTTCTTCGACCAACAGTAGTCCAATTTCCACCAGCACCCTGTAGGTCAACAGCACTGGTGACGGTCATTGTTAACCCAGGGCCTTGACCGATCCGGTATGGAATTCACACTGATGAGTTGCATGTTTAAATTTGGCATGTTTTTACGCCAGATGCCCTTCCTGATGCAACCCTCTCTATTTATCTGGGCTTGGGACCGGCACAGAAGTCACTGTCTTGTAACCCCTGTGGCTAGATTAGCTGCACACTCTGGATAATAGTCCTAAAAAATTTTTTTCCTATGTTTCATTCAATGTACAGTTCAAATAATTGTTCAGTTGTTACATTGGCCGCTGTCATTTAAAAACAAAAACCATGATTCCGTTAAGTATTTGTATCTGCACCAATCTCCAAATTGTGGTTTAAAACTTCTTTGATGTGTTTAGTTTATCACATGGCATGGTGGAGCAGTGGGGAGCACTGTTGCTGCACAGCAAGAAGGTTCTGGGTTCACACCAGTTAGAATGCTCACACAGGACTAAATGCAGACCACGGGCAGAATTTAGTTCAGAAAGTCTTTATTCAAAGAATAAGGTACAACAAGCCAAAATGTAACTGTGGCGCTGGAAGCACTCAGGGGAGTCCGACAGACAGGAGAGAACTTAGGCGGAGCTGCCGGGCCAGGAACACAGGTGGGTCAGCGTATCTGTAGCGCAAAGGACATACAGGTGAGTTGAGCAGGCCAGAGAGTGGGGATGTGGCTGGAGCACACAGCAGATAATGCAAGACAGGAGACACACCAGCTTCCCTGGGGAATACGAGAACTCACAGGTAAGGAAACGGGCAGGAGAGTCAACAGCATCGCTGGCAGATTCGGAACAAGCAGCTGGTAATGCTAGACAGGAGTAGTGACCACGTCGCAGCAGATTCTAGAACTCACTAGTAAGTAGATGGAGCCAGAAGAGTCATCAACATCACTGGCAGATGCTGGGCAGAAGACATGCCAGCGTCGCTGAGAATTCAAGAACTCACAGGTGAGGAGACAAAGGTAGAAGTGTTGACAATGTCCAGAATCAGTGCAGATAAACAAGGTATGGTGAACAGAGTAAGCATCGGCATGAATATATAAACTTTATCAATGGACTAGCGAGTGACTGAGGGGAAGGTATACATGGGCTGTTGGCCAGGAGATAATGAGCAGCAGCTGAAAAAAATGAACAGTGATTATGCACTGGGGTAAGCTGGGTCAGGTGAAGTGAAGCAGGGCAGGAAGTAACCAAAATAAAAGTACTCAAACCTGGGAGCTGAGCTAAACCATAACACCAGTTTCTTTTTCCCAAAAACAAATACCAAAATGACTAAATAAAAAACTTGAAACAGTAACAATACTAAAGTCATCAAGTACTTTTCTTCTTAATTGCTTTCATTCAATTATACAGGCTTCAATTCAAATGTCAATTGTTTCTTTCCTAAAATAGAGTGTGAGCATGATACATATGAATAGAAATGTGATCCAGATAAAAAATAAAAATAAAAAACTGAGAGGAGGCCTTCTCTGCAGCTCAACTAGTAATTATAATCAGTGCTGTGCAATCTGCACCTGTTGTAAACAGCAATCATATTGACACTGGTAAAACACACAGACCTCATCAGAAGACCCACACACAAAGAAGACACTACACCACAGTGTTTGCTGGTCACAGCATGAAAGCAGAGGAGTAATTTCAGGACCGGAGCCAGAGGACTGCTCTCAGTTGTGTCAGTTTTGGTACCTGTTGAAAAAATGACTGATTCTTATTTGGAATGGTTATATAACACACTGACATCACTGTAATTGCACTACACCTATTTACTGTTTCCAAAACAGTAGGTCTGTGATTAATTTTCACCATCTTTACATTTTACATTTGGTTGCTGTAATAACAAATGCAAGTTGTGAGATACTTTGCATGTATGACTGTACAGTAAATGATGAGAGAATGGAAAATGGATAGAAAGTGGAGAGCAGGAGAATAAGAAGTATTTTCAGAGTGAGAGGGTGGAATCAAGTAATATAGCACACAACAAAAAAGTAGCAAGAGAAATAAGAGCTGAGTGTCGCATGAACAGGGTTACGAGTGAAACAGTCTGAAAAATGACCCTGTGGTTGCTATAGAAACAGCAGAACAATGGACAGTGAAAGAATTAAGTAGTGAAGGCAAAAAGAAAACAACAAACAAGCAATTGCATAAATCAATGACATTAGATAAGAAAGGGAGCCAGGGAACCTTACAAAGCAAAACATAAGCGGACATCAAAAGAAGACAGGAGAGCTGAATTATCCAGCCACATCTTACAAAACAATATAGCACTGCACTTGACTCTGGGGTTCAACCAGTGTACTTGTTGATGATCTCTCTCACTCTCCCTCTCTCCCTGTGGTCATAGTAGATCCAGAATTAATTGGCCAAAGGACAATGCAGCTTTGGGGAAGAAGGGACAGCATTATCCAGATAATAAATCACTGGGCTAATATACAGGGCACTATGCCAAAATGCATCTTACAGAGAACCTCCCCCCCAACACACACACACTCCTTTCTCACTAATAACGATCATCACTGGATTAGTGGCTAATGAAATACCATAGAGAGATGCAGCTTGGTGATATTGCTGTCTTTCACATTAATGCATCTCACTAGATCTAATGATACAGTATGTTGCACTCACTAGAAACAGTGGGACTTACAATTACTAATAGTGCTACAAAAGACCTTTCTATGGCCCTGACCTCAACAGCTCCAATATGTTGCAAGTCCAAGCAATGCTACATGTTTATTTTCTCATAGTGTTTTCCTGTTATCTTGTTCCCAGAGCACACATCTAGAGCCCTGCAACCTATGAACAAACATCCCTGGGTACAGAAGTCTGACTCAAGTCATATCCCTTGAAACAACCAGTCAAATTTCATGTGGCAAAATCTTTCATATGTAGTTAGGGCTGCAACTAACATTTTATTTCTTTTTACCAATTAATTTATTGATTATTTTCTTCAATTAAATAATTAATAATTTTGTCTATACATTTTTTTTTAAATTGTGAAAAATGCCAGTTTTAACTTTCCACTGTGGTGGTCATGTTTTGTTTTGTGTGAAGGATCACACACATATATACATATATATATATATATGGCATATCTTTTCTGTGTTGCAAGCAATGACAAATTTATTGATTGATTTATTCTTTAAATTGTTGCTGATTAATTTTCTGCCAGCTGACTAATTATAGTATTTAAATAATCACTGCATCTCTATATGTGTTATGGTAGCCCCCCTCACCAGGAGGGTGAGGGAGGACTGAGGTTGGACTCAAGTTTGCAGACCCAGGTGCTAGGGGGAAATACATGACGGTAGCAGGTAAATAAAGAGAACACAAAGTATCAAAAGAACATAACATGGGAAAGTACGGTACTTGGATATGTATGATATGTAGTGTAGTGTAAATGAGCGTAGCTCGTAGGTAGTGTGGTAGAGTCAAGCCAAAACGCACAGTGTCTGTCAGCGTAGCATTCTACCAACATGTACAGTCCGCGTTACTACGTTAATGTTCCGGCCAAGATGGAGTGTCTGCCAGAGGTTTATATAACGAGGCGAAGGTAATCATCGGGATGCACCCCAGCTGTGTGCATCGACAAACCAGTTGCTAATTACTGGAATGCAACACAGCTGAGGTGCAGAGCCCACAGGATAGAGAAAGCAGAGGAGAAAAAGACGGAGGAGAGGCAGCGGCCGCTGAGCGGCCCTGACAATATGCAACACTACACCCCAAGACTTGTAAAGAGACTTGAATTTATAAAATCAGTGGACTTCAACTTTGAGCTTCCAAATATAGCAGCAGTGAACTGTAGTGAGCTTCTATCCTCTTGAGCCAAAGAGGAAACTGACACTTGACTCTCTGACACATGAAGTGGCATTTTTAGGAAAAGAGCCATGTGGTCTTTACACTAAGTGATCTTACTTTTGAGATACTGTATATTAGCACACTCAATACCACTGGCAGCTCAAAGAGTCTATTGTTCCTTATGACCTTGGCCTCATCCAGTGCATCACTATTATATGTTAATTACCACAAGTTAGATATAGGACTTGGAGGACTGGAGAGAGAGTTACTGTCATGAGCTATGACTGCATCAAATATTAGGAATGATAGCACAAGCGCATGTGCTATTAGTCCATTCCTGAAAAACAAGCACTGATACAGTAGTATTACAGACTGTCTGTGTTGTTTGTGCCAGCAAGTTATTACAACCAACAGTTACGTGTTATAGCTAGGTGACCTCTAGCAACCAAGGCAATTATGGCACAAACAAAAGAGGTAATACAGTAAGGTCATGTAGAGCAACAAAGTTCACATCAGGAGGAGGCTGGGGTAGCTAGATGGGTCATAAAAACAGGACCTTCGCACAGGAGACCAGTGTTTGGTTCCTGTGTCCATAGTTGTGCTTATATTCCATGACACTTATTTATTATTACCCCACTTATTATCTTACACTTATTACCCCATTTATTATTGTAACCGTGACAACAAACATTATCACAGACTACGATCTTTTTGATGAAGGTCCAATATGCCTGCTGATGGAAGCGTATAACTGTTACCATGACAACAAGTCTGGTAAGTGTGCTGCTGGAAGGGTCCTGTGGGCTGTATTCTAAGGTAGGGACAACTGATGTGTATCATCACTAAGGACTTTGGGGGACTTTGTTGTAGTATTATGATCAGTGCTGCATGGGCAGCTTTAGGGAAATAAGAGGCAAGTAAAGTAAAAGTATGTTGATTCATTGGTATTTACAGATCATTTATTGGTTTGCTGGATTAGCCAAAAACAAACATTTCAGTCGTATTATTTCTGGCTATTAACCACAAAAATTATCTCAAATTAATTTGCTGTAAAATGAGACATATTTCTATGACTACATACAGTGTAAGCTGGAATTTATGTAATTTAAATCCCTGACATTACTTGACTCCTCAGCACATGTGATACAGCATTTTAAAGTGAGGCATATTGCATTTGCAACATTTATCCATGAAAGCATGACCCCAGACTTTCAGAACTAAGTTACTGCAGATAAGCACTGTTCTTGGAGCCAGGGAGTGGAATGAGATCCAAGTTTAAATCAGTACCAGATATATAAAAACATTTTAGTTCAAAACTCACAGAAGTGAAAGTAGACCTATTCACAAAGGTGAAATTATGCATTGTTTTTGTATGAGATTTATAAAGCTGTGTATATGCATGTTTCAGTTTAATACATCTCTGTCAGTATGAAACTGTGTACATGCACAATTTTGATTTCCACAGTGGATTTCCATAAATGGACATACACTGATCGGTGTTTTACAAATGCGTAAGCTGCAAAAAACAGTCCAAATGACGCACAACCTAAAAAATAATGTTTCATTTTAGATTCTTGCCTCATTTTTCACTTTTACTTCAGCAATATCACACTTGACTTGCTTTGCAAAACTGTGTATGGTCAGTAGTACATGTAATTTGTGCACACGCTCACCACACATATTTAAGCTGAAACCAGTGTGTGAATGATTTTGTGAGTACACATTGTTTAAACATCTGAGGCCCAGAAGTGCCAAATCCTTCTTCATTTTTAAATACAAACAAGAAGCAATTCTTCCAACACAATGTAGCCCGAGACTCTTTGCTCTCCACTTTCTCCAAATGTAAATTGTTGCTTTGACTGAATATTGTACCAGCAGTTACACTTATCATTCTAAAACATAGTGCTTTTTGCTGCTGCCATTAAATGCCTCATCCATCTTAGTGGACACTTAACACTTTGTGTGCAATTCCTCTTTAAAGTGGAATATTTTATGATTTGTTTGCTCTCTATAGCAGGTTGTTGTGTTTAAGGTCAGCTGCTGGGATGATTTGATGCTACCAAATTTCAACATTCACTGACACTTCTGGTGCTGTCACAATCACTAACAATGAGCAGTTATGCACTGTAGGTCATTCTGGATAAAGAGCAGCTGCTAATGCCATACAGTACATGTAATGTCTGCCCCAGACTACATGTAGCTT